CCCACCCCCTTTTTCCATCATCACCAAGACTTCCCCCCATTTCATCACAACCCCTGTTTTCCCTGTTTTCCCACCCCCACTTTTCATCACAATCCTCTCATCTCAACCTACGCAAAAAAATGTAATAGCCTATTAGGAGGTTCAGTTGTTCGGTTGTGAGTAAACTCGGTCATGCGAGAAAACGTGAAGCAATGTCAAGTGATAATAGCAACGAGATGGTGTTTTCCTAAAGTAGCCTTTATCCCCGAACGCGCACTTGAACCCTACGCTTAAAATCAGGGCACTGCACTATGGTGACTATAACTGTCCTCGCGGTTTTATGCAACGACAAAAAATCTGAAATTATGCAAACTGAGTCCAAAAATGTGAAATTGTGTGATTCATTTAATTCTAACAAAGAGTGATAAAGGAAAATAATAAGAAATTATGCAAAATATGATCAAATTTCGCTAAATTATGCGGGGTGCTGTAAGAATGCCGTCCTTTAATTTGAATTTCTTATGACGCTATTCTATGACTGTGAAATACGTCTGTGTGATGGAAATCTTGTAGCATTGTGATCGATAAGGTCTCTTTTTTGTGTCTCTTATTTGCATTTTAAAAGAGGCTTATTTTCTCTTCTCCTTTGAAGGGCCGTTCTTGTTGCAAGCACATATTTCTAACAGTCTCTAGACAATGGTCGAAATTCTTCAGTCTTCCATAAAACATTGAGTCAATTGAACAACACAAACGCACTCCCTCCTGCATACACATAAACAAACACACACAAACAAATACATGCAACACACACACACACACACACACACACACACACACACACACACACACACACACACACACACACTTGCTTGGAAAACACAGACTTGATACACGTATATTATCTGTGTCTTTCTTTTCCCTTGCACCTAATGACTTATTGTGTCAATCTTTGCCAAAACAAACGAATAAATCATTTACTCACTCATTTAACACCAATGTCAACCGGTGTACAGACACAAATTGCCAACGCCACAATTCATCCCCACTCCAAATCCCCACTTATCCCCCACCGCCACCGCCCCCGAGCTCCCCCTCCCCCGAAAAAAAGAAACATTTATTCAAAATATTGCTTTTCTTACCTCATCAAATATCACTGATTCCTCCATATTTTCCACTGTCTTCGTGTAGTGTGACAGACCTGGGGATGAACACAAATAAAGAGCATGTTATACATAGCTTACAAACAAATCATTTTTTATTTTAAAATTGAAAAATGAAGGTTGTTTAAGAATGAAAGAAAAGTAGAATACAAGATAAAACGACAGAGCAAGAAAAATGGACAATAAAATAGATCATGCATACACACATACATACATACTTATAACAAAGAGAGAGAGAGAGAGACAGAGAGAGAGAAGAGAGAGAGAAACAGAGAGAGAGAAGAGAGAGAGAAACAGAGAGACAGAGAGAGAGAGAGAGAGAGAAAGAGAGAGAGAGTGCGCGCGCTTGTGTGTGCGTGTGTGTGTGTGTGCGAGTGAAAAAGAGAGAGAGAGAGAGAGAGAG